TTGATTTTCAAGATAGAAAAGCGTTTATGCCCCACATTCCAATGCTTAAGCAGGAAAGTTTGACATACCTACCAAAACAATTCAATGCAGTACCTACTTTTAATAAGCCTATTCGCCATTACCGGCGCGAAATGCATGATGGGTAAAACCCGCCATTTTTCTAGATAAACTAACTGCATGGTCCCCGCTACACAGCGAGCGCGGGTGTCGAATCCCGCTACGTAGCTAAAAAGTATGAGTTTACCTGGGCCGTAAGTGCAGATTTTATATCTTATTGGACGGCAAAGATGACAGACGTTTCTTGGCGTAGGCAAACTTGTCCACAGACCCAGGATACAGAACCCAAGACTAACAGTAGTATTCAAGCAACCATGGCATTAATTTTCTTTGAAGAATCTTGTTTAATAGAATATGTCTTGCTCCTATCTTACTTCCTATGCAACATTCATTAAGTGCTGTCCACATTAGAGAGATATGGGAATAAGAAAAATATCAAAATAGTGCTTGTTTTGTTTTCTTTATAGTATATACATGTATGTACTTGTAACAGACAGAACAATCATTATCCAGGGTAAATAGTAATTGAAAGGTTATCTGAGATGGTAAGTTACATATTTTATTAAGAAAAAAACTGTTCTCCAACTCAAGAAATTTGAGTTTTCAACTATATCTGTCTTCATCATCTATCTGAGCCATTTGCTGTGACATTATTATATTTTCTACATCACTTTCATTGCAGAGCTGTTTGTGTGTTAACACAGTAAGTTTATATTTAACGGTGCTTGTATGTTTTCTATCACAGTGTGAATTTTTACAGTAATCAAGTAATCGTCATCATACAACCTATGCTGTATATCAAATATTATTTAGTATTTAGACAATGAACCGGATAGTGAGTGTAAGTGTGTATGAAGTACTGTCGATGCAGTTAACTGACTTGTTTTTCCTGTGTTTGGTCAGAAAAACAACAAGAGAGTAGTTACAAATTAAATATTCCACTTTCAAGATCCAAACCCAGGTTTGGTGTAAGTAGTGTAGATGACTGGAGTTCTCTACATACACCTCATCTTATGGTCAGCAGTCAGTGGAAAAGTTCTAAACTTAATTACTAGTACTTAGACCATCACTGGGAGCACCTGTGTTCTGGCACGAAGGAGTCGACTACACCAGTTCACCACAACTTTCTCAACTGCATGCGGAAAAAGGTATGATCTTAAGTGGTAAATATAGTGTTAAGGACTTGACATCATGTTCAATTCAAATATATTACTACATGTATTTTCCACCAATTCAAGTTAATAAGTGAAAAGACAATCATATTGTATTTATTTACAGCAGACCCTTGTTAAATTAAAAGTGTGTACCAGTTTAGCAGTATTACTGCACAGAACTAACAAAATTCAGTACATAAACTAGAAAGGCCAATATTTGCTTTGGAGCAAATATAGCGATGGGTTCACCACATTTTACGACATGGCAGGGAAAGAATGAGAAACACAAGGGAAAACAATGATTTACATTGATATAACTATAATCTGAAGTAACATACAACTAAAACAACAGTTGGATAGCTATTCCCTACTTTATTGGTTAGGATTTTTAATTGCATAATGCAAACTGTTGATTTAAAAAAAAAAAAGACGTTTATGCCCCGCATTCCAATGCTGGAGCAGAAAAGCTTGAAATACCTACCAAAACACTTGAATAAAGACATACTGTCAGTATGGAAATGCTCTGTGCAGGTGTTAATCAAGTTGAATCCCAACAGCCAATCAGCAAGAAATGCTCTGTGCAGGTGGAAATGCTCTGTGCAGGTGTTAATCAAGTTAAATCCCAACAGCCAATCAGCAAGAAGTATAGAGGAAAGCTGCATGCCTATTGGTTGATGCCCTGCATTCCATTGTGATGACTCATGCCCAGACGTGGTAAACACGGCACACTAACACAGTAATACATTTGCTATAACACAGCCAAAAAACTCAAATAAAACCATTCTAAAAGCCTGTATCACA